TGGTGGGAAAAAAAAAAGCACTGTGAAAAAGAGTTTCTCAATTTCTTGTGAAGTTGCACACACTTTTGCCATGTGATCCAGCAATCTTAGTCCTAAGTATTTACTCTAGAGAAATAGCACTTTATGTTTGTATAGAAACCTGTGCACAAATGTTCAAAGCAGTTTAATTCATAACTGCCCCAAACTAGAAACAACCCAAACATCCTCAATGGGTTAATGGATAAACAAATTGTGGTACATCTATACAGTAGAACAATATTTATCAATAAAAATGAATAAACTGTTGATATAAACAACAATATAGATGAATCTCAAAGGCATTATGCTAAATGAAAGTAGCTGGTCTCGAAATGTTCCATACTGTATGATTTCATTTCTATGACATTTTTGAAAAGGCAAATCTATAGTGATAGAGAACAGATCAGTGGTTGTCAAGGGAGGATGTGACTACAAAGGAGTAGAAAGAGAGCTTTTGGGGAGAAAAAACCTGGTATTCTGATTGTAGCATTGTTTACTAGACAAATGATATTTTGCTCTCAGAGAAATTTCTTATTTTTTTTTAACATAGTGCTGGTTTAATGATGTGTTGCACATCCAAAAAATGTGTCTGTCACATTTTTCTTATCTGTTCCCCTAGTAATGATATTTAAGTTGCCTCAAACTCCCCACCAGAAACACACTGTGGGATTACACAAATTGTATTTCTAAAGTTCTGAGCATAGAGCCAGAAACAATTAATTTCCCAATAAACGATAATTATTTTTATTAACATTAAATTATAATAAAAGGACCTAAACAATTAGTTTCCTAGCCCATGATCAAAGCTGACTCCCACTCTGATCTCACTGCCCCAATCAGGATGTGCCCCCATGGCCACTATAACACCATTGAGGAAACAGAGGAATCTTCAAATTCTTACCTTTTTGCAATGCCCATTCTTCTTAAACTTCTGCCTCTCTTCTTCTTCTCTACCCTCTAGAACTTAGTGCCTTTTTTCTCCATATTAGCATCAAGTGTAAGGTAATTGGTTGCAGTTGGTGGTGGTTAGTTTAGTTGTTGGACAGAGGTATGTGTGTGTAGGGGAAGTTTGGTTCACTTCAATAAGCAGTTCTGGAAGACCCCAAACATCAAGTTTCCAGTCATATCTTATGGGTGCTGTTAAGTTGTAAAGCTGTTGGAAACAAGGCCTGTCCCTGAGGCGCTGATAACTTGTTGGAGGAGACAATACTTTGTGTAGGACACAGTAAAATATTGAAGCGAGGCAGGCAGATGTGCTGGGGCTATACTGAGGGAGATCAGTGAGTGCTGGAGAAGTCAGGAAAGGTCTGCTGGAGTTGGCAGTGAGGTGTCTAATGGGGCCCTCATGGGTGGCTAGGTGGGAAGGGGACATGGAAATTCAGGGAGAGAAAAACATGAACACAGCCCTGGAGGGAGCAATGAGTATCATTTGTGGCAACAGAGGCCAAGTTGAGATGGATGAAGGAGCAGATGTTTGGCAGGATTATATTTTGCTATTACTGTTGTCTCCCTGCTCCCCAATTCTTTATCCTACTTCTCTTGCTCCTTATCCTCCCCACCCCGCAATTCAGTCAATAGGGCTATTACTACAGAAATGCAAAGAGCCAGAGTGAGTGATGTCAGCATCATGGCGGAATGACCTGTTTCCTTAGTCTCTCCTCACCTAAGTTACAACCAAACAGACATTCATTAACCAACAGAGGATTCCCTACAAAGCACAATAGGATGTCTGAGACATCCACACAGCCATACATTTGAGGGAGGGGTACTGGATCCCAGGGAAGCAGTGGAAGGAGGTGAGCAGGAATCCCCTCCCCCACCCCACAGCAGCAATCCAGGTGGCAGGTCCTCATGCAACAGCTGGTGTGCAACTGTAAGAGGGGGCAGGAGAACAGGCAGACCTGTACATGAATGCTTTCACTTTCAGAGTGGCAGCCCAGCCCGCAGGAACACTCTACATTGAGTGGTGTGGCTCAGCCAGTGTGTAGGTGCCCTCACAAAGAGCCACAGCCGAGGCAAACCACCCATGAGTGCAAAGTGGGCCCATGTGTGCGTGAAAGAAAGCAGCACCCCACTTTATCTAGTAGACCAGCTCAGCTGGTCCCCAGCCAAGGCAGCGGTTCTGCACCAGAGCACCTGCAGGTGCGTGTGTGACCCACCAAGCAGCTGTGCCCAGTGGGCAAATTGCAGACGAGCCCTGTCAGCACAACTTCCCCGCAGATGTGGCAGGTTCAGAAAAAACAGCTCTTGCCCGCCCCCAAGTGGTGGTAAGTAGAATCTGCGACCTGATGCTACCCATTATGTGCTAGCAAAGGATTACACTTCATCAAACACTAGGAAGAACTACATTAACACTCCAGAGCATAAGGAAAATGAGAAGTCTCCAGAAATCAACCCTGAACTCACAGAAATTTACAATCTAAATGACAGAGAATTAAAAATAGTTGTCATAAAGAAAAGCAACGAGTTGCAAGAAAACTCAGAAAAACAGTTTAATGAAGCCAGGAATAAAATTAATGAGGAGAAGGAATTCTTCACAAAAAAGATTGGAACTCTAGAAAAAACCCAAACAGGAATTCTAGAGATTAAGAACACAATTAATGAGATAAAAAAAAAATCTAGAAACCTTAAAAAACAGAGCTGATTTATGGACAGAATTAGTCATTTAGAAGACAGAAATATAGAAATGCCTCAGGAGGAGGAGAGAGAACTAAGACTTAAAAAAAATGAAGAAATTCTCGAGAAATATCTAACTCAATTAGGAAATGCAACATAAGGATTATAGGTATTCAAGAGGGAAAAGACAGGGAGAAAGGAGCCAGAGAGCTTGTTCAAAGAAATAATAGTTGAGAACTTCCAAAACGTGAGGAGGTATCTGGACTTACAAGTACATGAAGCCAATAGAACTCCTAACTACATTAACACAAAAAGACCCTCTCCAAGGCATATAATAGTAAAACTGGCAAAAGTCAATGGCAAAGAAAAATATTAAGGGTAGAGAGGCAGAAGAAAATAATCTACAAAGGAACCCCTATCAGGCTTTCAGTGGATTTCTCAGCAGAAACCTTACAGGCTAGGAGAGAGTGGAATGATATACTCTATCTAGCAAAACTATCCTTCAGATATGATGGAGAACTAAAAGCTTTCCCAGATAAACAAAAGCTGAGGGAGTTCATCACCACTAGACCTCCCTTACAAGAAATGATCAAGGATGCCCTCATACCTGAATCAAAATGGCAAAGGTTTACAAATGCTTGAGCAAGGAAATAGACAAAATCAGAAAATTGCAGCTGTCAGAACAGGTTAGCAAACACTTAATTCTAACAGAGAAGATAAAGGGAAGGAAAGCATGAAAAACAATTATAAACATTTTATTTTAATTAAAAGCCCACAACACAAAACAGAATAACTTGTGACAACAAGAACTTCGATGGGGGAGAAGAACGGGATGGGACCTGCTTAGGCTAATAGAGATAAGAGGTTATTGGAAAATGGACTATCTCATCTACGAGATCTTTTATACAAAACTCATGGTAATCACTAAACAAAAAATCAGAGCAGAAACACAAATCATAAATAAAGAGAAAACTGAGAAAACCATCACAGAAAACCACCAAACTGAAATGGCAGTCAGAAATACAAGGGAAGAGAAACAAGGGAAATAGAGAACAACCAGAAAACAAGAGAGAAAATGGAAGTATTAAGCCCTCATATGTCAATAATCAGTCCAAATGTAAATGGATTGAATTCTCCAATCAAAAGAGACAAACTTATATGCCCCCTTATTAAAATTTGTTTGTGCTCCCTCTCCCTCTTTGGAGAGATTCAGGAAACTGACATGAGGGGGAAATGTATGACTAGGGACAAAGATAAAGTATTAGCTGGGGGGAGTGGTTAGCTCAAAGAGTTGGTTAGAACTAGAGAACTTTCCAGAAAGAACTTGACTGGAATATACCATGGCCAAGCTCCTCCATCCTGTCCTTTGTGGGAGGGGTCAATAGTTTGCAATAAGTCTCTCTGCCCACCCCCTGTGCAGTTTACCATATGTCAATTAAGCCCAATAAAACTGTTCTTAAAAAAAAAAACCAAAAAACAAAAACTGTTCTTAAAAAATGAAAAAAAAATCTGTTCCCCCTTACCTTCTCTACTTTTACTTTGTTCTATACAACTTCTAGTTCATTGGAGTCTTTTACAATAAGATATATTTTGTGTGTCCTTGAGAAATAAGTAAACAAATAAGCAGAATCTAACCAAAACTTCCACCCAGGGGCTGGCCCAGTGGCATAGTTGTTACATTTGGTGTGCTCTGCTTTGTTGGTGCAGGTTTGGATCCCAGGCGTGGACCTACACCACTCATCAGCCATGCTGTGGTGGCAACCTATATACAAAATAGAGGAAGATTGGCCACAGATGTTAGCTCAGGGCGAATCTTCCTCATCAAAAACAAAAAACAAAAAGCTTTCCCCCAATAGTCCCAAGCCGCCATTCATCACAGCCTACTGAGCCCCAACTACCCTCCCGAGTCCTCTCTGCCCACTGAAGAAGTGTGAAGTAGGAAGCAGAGAAGGGAAGGAATGATGCAAAGTTGGCAAGAGACATACAGGACACAGGAAGATGGAGACCATTATAATGGAAGAATTGGGAGTCTGATTTTTCTCATTCTGCCATACCTCCCAGGGAAATATTATAACCGCAAAACCGTTGACTTTGTCCATAAGATTGGGCTGGGAGTGCTCTGGAGGAATCTAATGCTAGTCTCTCACCCAGCTAGCAAGAGAAGTTAGCCTATTAGAGTGAAAGGAAAACCAGACTTTAGGTCAAACTATCAAATTTCTGGTCTTGGCTCTGTTCATAGCTATGTAAATGTGAGAAACTTGCTAAAGTGTTCCAGATCTCCAATTTCCTTTCTGCAAAATGCGTGGGTTGGAGAAGACGAATTTTAAGGGCCCTTTCAGCACTAAAATTCCACTTCCAGTCTTAGGTCATACACAAATCACAGCAGAAACTTTATTAGAAATGTCAAATAAATCCACAGGAACACTCTGTTCTTCAAATCTGCACCCGCTCCTCAACTTGTTGATGACCAGCAGTCAGAAGGTTCCCAGTAAAAAGAGATCCTTTGACTCTGGACCAGAAGTGCCTCCTCAGGAACAATGGACAACTGATTGCAGTAACAGCAGCAGCAACAGCTCTAACCTCCAAACCGAAAAGAGAAGCCAGGTGGCCCCATTTTCAGCTTTTCGGGGCTGAATGAGAGACGGGTACTGACATACTTCCTTCACCCACATGGGTCCTACTGTAAAGACCCCAGCCATCAGCCTGCAACCAATCACGGATGTACAGCCTTTGACCTCCAAAGGTGAGTTGATGCCTCCTATGGAACAAGAAAGGATGGGGAGACACACAGATGCTTTAGGAAATCACAGAGGAATCTAGTCCTCCCTCCTTCCTGGAACCCTGAGTGTCAAAACCTCTTGGGATCCACTCAGACGTTTGGTTTTCAAGCCTCTGAAACCATCAACTGTTCAGTTTACCTCCAATGATCTGAAGTTTTCCTTGATAACATCGAGTCGTATCATTAGGACAGGGAAGAGAAGGAGCATTCAAACAGGTCCCCAAAGCCACACAGGTTGGGCAGTGGAGGTTTGCCGTCACCCTGGGAACTGGAGGGGGAAAGAGAGGGACATTTAAGGATATGTCCTGCCTCTGGAGTTGTCTCTCCTTGCTTCCTTCTCTTTCACAAGTATTTCCGGCTGACACCACTCTAAGCAAGGCCTATTACTGCAACCCCCTACCCTTCTCCAGTTGACTCTTCCCTGCTGTCAGAACCCCATTCAATATGACTCCCAAACTCTGTGCTTAGGTGTGGAGATACAGAGATGAAAAGGACACAATTTCTGTCATCTAGGATCATTGTCTAGAAGGAGAAAGACATGCAAGGAATTAAGTACAACTCAGTAGGCACTGTGTCCAAGATATAATGGAAAAGGCATGGAGGAGTACGTAACTACCTAAAAGAATTTGGTAACTACACAATATCGGGGCCTTGAAAGGGTGTAGGTTTGACCTCAGACTCCTGAGTCTGAGGGAGACAGGCCTAAAAGACCCCTAAAAGAATTTGCTATTCACACAGCGGATACCTGAGTTGAGATGGAGGATGAATAGAGGTTATTCACTGTGTGAAAATAGGGGTTGGATAGGGATAGCAAAGGAAACAGCAAGGACAATTGCCTGGAGATGTGAGCCAGCTTGGTGGATTCGAGGAATTGTGAGAAACTGCAGTACTGATATTCAGCTGGTAGGCACCGGTAGGGCTGGACTAGTTTTACAGCCAGCATCCATTCTGATTGGCCTGTCCCGTATCCATTGTTAAGTATTTTGAATACTTGCCCCCAGCTGGAACCCAATAAATGAGAGAGGGAAGAGAAGGAAACGAGTTGCAAAAATAGGGCCAGACTACTATAGGTCTTGAGGCCAAATGGAGGGAAGTGGGCTGTGGTTGTGCAGCAATGGGGAAGCAATAATAGTTACACCACACCCTGCTCAGAATCCTCCACTGACATGTTACTGTTTAGTAAACAGAAAACCCAATTTACACCCCACCTCTCAGTGATATCCCTCTGCTCTGAGCAGTGTTCAGACCCCAAGGTAACAATATAGAAAAAGAAAGACAAGCAGAAGTTCTGAGATCCTTTTGTGTATGGCCCACTTGGGCCCAAGCCAAGAAAGAACACAAAGAAGGAAGACCTACTCTTCAGGGGTTTCTAGAGTTTCTCTTAGCACCCATCTCTCCCCTCCCAAGGTACCTTCGTTACGTTCTGGCTTCCATATCTGAAGTAAGTCCTCCATATCGTTGCAAAAGGACTCCTCACAGTAGTTACTGTAGGAGACTGTGACTATGCCGGGCGGTGGAGAGTGCTGGATAAACGTCATTGCCGGTGACCCTTCTGTGGTGCAGCCCTTAGAGGCCAAAACTGCTGTCTTGTTCCCTGTTATGAGACAAGAGGGAAAGAAAGTGGACGGCAGGCCTAATGCTTGGCCTGGGGCAGGGGGAATCTCATTTACATGGACACAATCACCCTTCCTCCCACCCAACCCAACTGCCCCTTTCTCTTTTTACCTGCTTTAATCAACAGCACAGATTCCTGGCAAAATGACCCATTGTCACAAGCCTCAACTTTCCCAGTGGTCCAGTTAAATGCATGTCTTGGATCATCTTCTATACTTATGTATACACCCTGGTGACAATACAAATTTTGTGCCACTGGGGAGACAATGAGAGAAGGATGAGCATTTGCCCTTCTCGGTGGGGCCCAAATCACTCTTTTTTCACCAGAAATCCATCCTCTTGACCCAGCTGCTCTTCCCCCCATCTCCCATACATACAGCTCAAGGGGGAGGCTCCCAGGAGAAAGAGCAACAGCCAACCCTGGAGAGGACGGGTTCCCATGGCTTCTTCTAGAGAGGCTTGGAAGAGCCGATCAGGATCTGTGATCTGAGGGAGAGGAAGAAACCTTTCAAACACACAGAATGAAATTAAATCTTCTTTCTGACAGGTACTGACTTCAGGGCAGAGTTTACTGTATATGAGACCATGACCTCTATAGTCAGTCCGTCCCTATCTAGCTTGTGAGTTTGAGCAAGTTAACGGGTTTACTGTGCCTCCGTTTCGACAGCTGTAACTCTCGGACCCAGCCACCTATTCACTTAAGACCCAGGAGTTCAACAATGTAATACCCTCCAACCTAGGGCCCCAAGAGTCTGGCCCAAAGGCCCGTCTCCCTCAGACTCGGGAGTCTGAGGTCAAACCTACACCCTTTCAAGGTCCCGGTATCTCAGCCCCCAGCCCCCAGCTCCATCAGAATCCGGAGTTCTGAGATCCCAGTCCCGGCCGACCTAGGGACCAGGAGTTCAGGTTCAGTCACCGTTTCCCACAGGACATGATTCTGGGACCCCAGCCCTCGACCCCGACAGATCCAGGAGGCCAGGCCCCCAGCCCTCGCCCCGCCTCAGACCCAAGAGTCCTGGCCCCCGGCCTTCTCTTTCCTCAGAACGCAGGAATCTGAGTCCCCAACCCCCTTTTTCTCTTCAACGGACAAAAATTCTCCAGGCTTCCAGAAGATCTCACAAGAATCTCACGGTGCTGAAGGCTCGACGTCGAACACCCCTCTCCACAACCTGGCTTGTCTTACGAGCTCCTCATAGCACGGAAGGCGGGACCAACCTCACTTATGGGTCACTCGAAGCCCCATTGGTCGACGCGGAAATGTCTGATGAGCTCATTGGATGAGCCTGGAGGAACGCCACGCCCCATTGGCCCAGGAAAAGCCTCTTCCTGGTAGTCTTGAAAGATGCGCATGCGCAGAATGGTGAGCAGCGAGCAGCGAGCTTGGGGAAGGAGAGCTGGGTTTTGAAGCGTTAGGCGTGCAGTGGCGGGCAGGGTCGCACATCCCGAAATGGATTTGCTTACCCTTCTCCCTCGGGTTATGGAGTCTCTGCTTGTCCAGCCACACTAGGAGGGCAACCCCTTGGCCGTAATCCCTGAACTTCCCTCCCTATCCAAATGGCCTCTCATGTTCCCAGCTGGGCCCCTGCCCCAGCACCCACCCAGTGGCTATAGCCGCTGGGAGTCGACTTGGCCTCCTCACTGTTCACTTGCTCTGGTTCCCGCTCAGCCCAGGCATCATCTTCTGATCGAATCATGGCCCCAGCCCCCTCCATGGTCTTCTGGAAGGCTGAATAGAGGAATGCCGACTTCAGTGTTATTTCCGGCGCTCCGAAAGTATAGATTTTTAGTACTCCGATTGAGTAGTAACTGTGTGTTGACACAGGTTGCCGTCATCTCTAACGCACTTGTCCGGGTCAGCGCCACAAGTAAGATGTGTCATTTAGATTACTTGTGCCTGGCTGGAAATTCTATTTCATGTATATATACGCATATACATATATATGCAAGCTTTTCAGATGCAACATGAAGTAAAGATGCCCTTTATGTGCTTTCAGACTTGGTACTGTTTCTGTGAGTTTTATGGTATAAACGAATATTTATTTTTAATAGCGAAAATACCACAATAGGAATGGTGTTGGTAAAGCCTTTAATTTTACGTAAAAATATATTAAGAACTTTCAAGTGGTAAAAAAAAAAAAAAAACTATGGACAGTTAATACAAATATTAAGAGAAAGCAACTTAACTAGCTTAGAAAGAATAAGTCCTTCTAGAACCCCCAAAAAATGTTTTAAGAAATTTAATAATCAAGACAAAAGAGCTATAATTAGATTTTATTGTGGCCCTAATTATTTGATGGTCTAACATTCAAAACGCTAAGAATAAGCTTTGATTCATGGAAAGGATGGGAAATAATTAGGTATCAGATGCCCTTAGGTCCTGGGGCTACAGGACAGGATGAGTTGGGGTCATCAGGAGACAGGAAAGGATGAAACATCTCAGAAAAGGGCGATGGCCAATCCCAGCCTTGCACCAGCGACCAGGCCAGCAGCAGTGCCCACAGACTTCAGGGGAGGGGGTCTCTCTGTTTTGATGGTAGTGAGCATTGGTGATTCCATCATCACTGTCTGGCTGGCATATTCTGGAAGCTTTGGCAGTTCTTAGAATAACTGAAGGGACTGTCTTGACTGGTGCCATTTAACAAGGAGCAGACTTGTGGGCCGGACAGTCTTCAGTGCTCATGTCATTTTGATCTCACTTCCAGGAGCAAAGTTACAGGAAAGACAGCAAGAAATTCACCACTAATACTGGGTCTCTGATGCCCCTGGTCCTCTCATCAGTCAGGAACCTATGGATCCCTGTCCCTAGTTACCTCCTGCCTCAGGCTGGGGAGTCCAGGCCCTCAACTCCTCCTCCCTCAGAGCCAGGAGTCCAGGCCCTCAACTCCTCCTCCCTCAGGCCCAGGAGGTCAGGCCTTCATGATCTTCCTCCCCTAGTACCCAGGAGTCCAGGCCCCCAGCCTACTATCATCAGGACCCAGAAATCTAAGTCACTATCTCAAGTTCTTTCTTTCTTTTTTTTTGGTGAGGAAGATTGGCCCTGAGCTAACATCTGTTGCCAGTCTTCCTCCTTTTTTTTTTCTCCCCAAAGCCCCGGTACATAGCTGTGTGTCCTAGTTTTAGGTCATTCTAGTTCTTCTATGTGGGATGCCACCATAGCATGGCCCAATGAGTAATGTGTAGTCCTCGCCCAGGATCCAAACCGGCTAACTGTGGCAGCTGAAGCAGAGTGCATGAGCTTAACCACTTGACCACGGGGCTGCCTCCAACTCTTGGCATCTAGATGTAACATGAAATAAGGATACCCTTTGTGTACTTTCAGAATTGGTGCTGTTTCTGGGAGTTAAGCATAAATGAGTATTTTTTAATAGCAAAAATGCCACAATAAGAATGGTGTTGGTAAAAGCTCTTAATTTTGTGTAAAAATATATTAAGAACTTTCAATTGGGGACAGTTAATATTAATAATATGATTAATAATATAATATGATTATTAATATTATTATCAATATACGCATTAGGGACAAATATTGAGATAGTCCTGGTCCTGAAGACCCTGTCCCTTAGGACCCAGGAGTCTAAGCCGCCCTCTCTTCTTTTCAGGACTCAGGCATGAAAAGGACTCAAGACTCATCTCCTTCCATCTGTAACAGTATGCAGTTTTCTGGGGCACTGTATAACTACAGGCATGGGGCAGGGTCCTGGACCCTGGCCGCAATTGCCAGTGTAGGGCCAATGGGTTAGAGGAAACTGGAGGGCAGAGAAGGTGGTTGGGAGCTGCACAGCCACCTGCTTTGAGCACCAGAAACTTGTCTCTGGTCCCTCATCCCTCCCCATGTCTCTGCCTAGCACTTGCTTTTCCTCTTCAGTTCTGCAGCTGGCTTCTAGGACCTGTACTGAAGGTCATCTTTATTTTATTTTATTATTTTTATTGAGGTAATGTTGGTTTTAACATTATATAAATTTCAGGTTACATCACTGTATTTCAGTTTCTGGGTAGATTATATCATGTTCACCACCCAAAGACTAATTGCCATCCATCACCATACACATGTGCCTAGTCACCCCTTTCTCCCACCTGCCTCCCCCCTCCTCTCTGGTAACCATCAATCTAATCTCTGTATCTATGTGTTTGTGTGTTGTTGTTGTTGTTTTTGTCTTCTATTTATGAGTGAGATCATATGTTATTTGATTTTTTCCCTCTGACTTATTTCACTCAGCATAGTGTCTCAAGGTCCATCCATGTTGTCACAAATGGCAAGACTGCATCTTTTTTTAGGACTGAGTAGTATTCTGTTGTGTATATATACCACATCTTCTTTATCCATTTGTCCCTTAATGGGCACTTAGGTTGTTTCCAAGTCTTGGCTATTGTGAATAATGCCACGGTCAACATAGGGGTGCATATATATTGACGCATTCATGTTTTCATGTTCTTCAGATAAATACCAAACTGTGGAATAGCTGGATCGTGTGGTAGTTCTATTCTTAATTTTTCTAGGATACTCCATACTGCTTTCCATAGTGGCTGCACCAGTTTGCATTCCTACCAGCAGTGTATGAGAGTTCCCTTTTCTGCACACCCTCTCTAACACTTGTTATTTCTTGTCTTGTTAATTATAGCCATTCTGATGGGAGTGAGGTGATATCTCATTGTAGCTTTGATTTACATTTTCTTAATAATTAGTGATGCTGAACATGTTTTCATGTGCCTGTTGGTCATTTGTGTATCTTCTTTGGAGAAATGTCTGTTCAGATCTTTTGCCCACTTCTCAATTGGGTTGTTAGCTTGTTTTGTTGTTGAGATGAATGAGTTCTTTATATATTTAACCCCTTATCAGATATATGGTTTGAAAATATCTTCTCCCAACTGTTAGGTTGTCTTTTCATTTTGTTGATGGTTTCCTTTGCAGTGCAGAAGCTTTTTAGTTTGATGCAGTCCCATTTGTTTATTTTTTCTTTTGTGTCCCTTGCCTGAGTAGACATGGTATTTGAAAATACGCTGCTAAGACTGATGTTGAAGAGTGTACTGCCTATGTTTTCTTCTAGAAGTTTTATGGTTCCAGGTCTTACATTCAAGTCTTTAATCCATTTTGAGTTAATTTTTGTGTATGGTGTAATATAATGGTCTATTTTCATTCTTTTGCATGTGACTGTTCAGTTTTCTCCACATCATTTATTGAAGAGACTTTCCTTTCTTTATTGTATGTTTTTGGCCCCCTTGTTGAAAACTAGCTGTCCATAGATGTGTGGGTTTATTTCTGGGCTCTTGATTATCTTCCATTGATGTGTGTGTCTGTTTTTGTGCCAGTACCATGCTGTTTTGATTACTATGCCTTTGTAATATATTTTGAAATTGGGGAGTGTGATACCTCCAGCTTTGTTCTGTTTTCTAGGATTCCTTTTCTTTTCCACTTAAATAAGTTCCTTTAGCATTCTTGTAATGCTGGTTTCTTCGTGATAATCTCCTTTAGTTTTTGCTCGTATAGAAAACTCTTTCTCTCTCCTTCCATTCTGAATGATAAGCTTGCCAGGTAGAGTATTCCTGGCTGTAGGTTTTTTCCTTTTAGCACTTTAAATATATTATGCCACTCCCTTCTAGCCTGTAAAGTTTCTGCTGAGAAGTCAGCTGATAGCCTTATGGGGTTTCCTTTGTACTTAACTTGTTGCCTTTCTCTTGCAGCTTTTAGGATTCTCTCTTTATCTTTAATTCTTGACATTTTAATTATAATGTGTCTTGGTGTGGGCCTCTTTGGGTTTATCTTGTTTGGTGCTCTCTGTGATTCCTGTACCTGGATGTCTGTTTCCTTCCTCAGGTTAGGAAAGTTTTCAGCTATTATTCCTTGAAATAGATTCTCTGCCCTTTGTCTCTCTCTTCTCCTTCTGGGACATCTATAATACAGATATTAGCGTGCTTGATGTTGTCCCAGAGGTTCCTTAGACTGTCCTTGTTCTTTTTAATTCTTTTTTCTTTTGTCTGTTCAGCTTGGGTGATTTTGTCTAGTCTTTCATCCAGCTCACTGATCCGTTCTTCTGAATCATCTACTCTGCTATTGAGTCCCTCTAGTGAATTTTTCATTTCCAGTATTATATTCTTCATCTCTGATAGGTTCTTTTTTATATTTTCCAATTCTTTGCTGAAATTCTCACTGGGTTCACCCATTCCTCTCCCAAGATCTGTGAGCATCCT